TAAATTAGACGGGTGCATGCGCAGTTATTGAGCTTTACTACCACTGGTTGACAATTGCAGCCGTTAATACTGTGGGCAGTGTAAGAGAGATGCTGCAACCATTAACCTTGTCTGTTAAAGGTCAATCAACACTGTATTACAGCCTTTGCCCGATACTTCAGCACGCTTTTCTCGAAACTAAGTGAAGTTACCCGCGTCCAGAATGTGGAAAGTCACAATTCCTTGTCTTTAAGTTGGTACTAATGTCAAACTACAAGAGTACAGAGACAGCTTGTATGAGCTCATAGTTGCACGTGCATGGAGAGTGTATTGTTACGTCTTAGATTTAAGCAACTTTGCCAACCAGTGGTAGTAATGCGCATGTGCCTGCCTCATTTGCATATTTCATGAGAAACGTCCATTGTGAAGCCTCTGCAGTTTCTCTGTCGGACTGACTCACCCTGACTAACTTCTCTGAGTCTCCCCTCCACTTGCTGACGATACTAGAGGCGGAGATGTTGAAGAACGTGGTGTTGCACTCGGTGGCTACTGCCTTGGCCAGGAGAGTTTTGCCGGTGCCTGGCGGGCCGTAGAGGAGGAGCCCCTTCCAGGGGGACAGGATCCCTGTGAATAGCTGGGGATACTGGTAAATAGAAGGAAGTACACTGGTGAACTGCACGATAATGTAATGTTGATGCGCATCAATCCATAGGGGTGTATTCCCATACAGGAGAGCAGCATTCTAGTAAATAGATGGGGAATACACGTGAATACATGAAATATACTGGTGAACTATAAGATAATGTAATGCTGATACCCATAGATTCATAGGGCTGTGTCCCCATCCATGGGGACAGGGTCCAAGTGAATAGTTGAGGATACTCACACATACAACAAAGTATACTGCAAAGTGAATTACAAGATAATGCAATTCATAGGGGTGACAGTCCCTTCCACTTACAAGGATTACCCTTGTAAACTGCCAATAATGTAACGTTGAGGATTGCATTCCATGTGTTGTAGCCCATTCCAGGGTAACAAACTCCCTTTGCACAGTTTGCAGTTTTGGAAAAAAAAAAGGTTCAATAATGTGTAGTGAGCAATATATGATTTCATGCTGCCGATTCCAGTTACTTGATGGAGTCCTTTCACCATCTTTACACAGGAATCATGTTTATCGAGCTGCTGAGGGCAAAAAAAAGCTTATGCTTCAGAAAAAAAGGGGTACATCACGTACAAGTAATAAGCATAATTTTTTCGCTCAGACAATTTAATTGGCCAAACGCTTTCATGGAAACATGGTCCCTGTTCACCGTTGCTGCTCAGCCAAACCAACCATCGTTACAGGCTCCCCACCTTTATTGGGTAAACCACGGCCTCCTTGACTAATCTCTTGGCGTTGTCCAAACCTATGATGTCGTCCCATCTGACGTTGGGGTTGTGGAGATAGATGTCCTTGCTGATACTCTGTGCTAGCTCCCGCCATTCTAGTGTGTAGCCCGAATAGCCCCCCAGGGGCTTTAATAGTCGATCCTTGAGAGGAAAAACATTCAGAGGATGGAGAGTTAGAAAGATTTCCAAGTAGCTCCTTTGAGTGCAGTTGCTGAGGGTTTTTTAATAAGCACGACAAGTGCACTGAAATGAAAGGCAAAAAAGTGTTGATTCACCTACAATTAATTACTTTAAAGTTACTGTTAGGGTATTTAGGCTGTCCACTGAGGAAAAATCTGAGTAACAAATAACAGGATGCTTCTTTCTGATTACTGATCAATAACTAGTTGTAAAAATGTATTCCTTTTTGGCCTACCTGTGTCAGCCACCAATCCAAGTTAAACGGTTGAGACGTCTGCACCAGTACGCAAGGAGTCGTGGGCTCAAATCCTACTAGAGCAAGCTCCTGACCGTTTCACAACTGTCAGACCTCATTCAGAATATAGTCTGACTATACCCAGCAATGTTAGGGCAAGCCTAGTGTAATACTTCACAAGTACACTGGTTGAGATTGGGAAACTTGCATTGATGCAGACTTTCCGTACTTATGAACCAATTGTATTTGACAGTATTTATGAGGTACTAAACTATTAAACAAAATCCCTTAGGTAAAAAAAAGAAATCATCACTGGTCATTACAACATACCGAAGGGTCACTATCTCCTACATAGTCTTGTGTAGCCCCTTTAATAGCATTGTTCAACATGGCCCGCATGTCGATGATTGGACCCTTCTTAGGTGGCAACTTTCCTGAGCCATTTGAGAGGTTAGTCTCGCTGGATTTGTTGGCAACCGTCGAGCCAGAAACAGAGAGGTCTGACAGTGGGTCTCCAACTCCATTTACTTGAGAGGCCTACCAAAAAGGACAAAGAAAAAATTGGAAAATGTGTGTGGTTGATTTTGGCTCAATATGGGTACAAATAAGTAATTTTAACATTTTGTGATTCCCCCAGATTATTTATAATAAGAGGTGCCACAATCAAGAATGATCATTGAAATATTTCTAAAAGATCGAGCAAGTGGGACTTTGGGCTTCAGACCTAAACCTTCCAACCTCTAATTTTCATAGAAGCTGGCTGCTATCTTCATTGGGCCCAAGATTGGCTAATATTTTAGACATATTTTGAAGCATCACTTACAGCACTTTTTCCATCCATTTTTCTTCCTATTGGCACTCTTTCATGTACGGTAACCAAATACATGTAGGCAGGGTTTTCCCCTGGGTAATGATATGTGTGAGGTGGTTCAACAAAATTTGCCAAAATTCTAGTGCCTAAAACAAAAGTCAGCTTTTTAAAAAAGCCTAAAAAAAATTCTATGTACCGGTAGTACATTTTGTATTCCAAATTTCTTGTCAAAAATAAATTGATCTTGTATTCTGTGTCCTTCTTTATCATTCTGAATTATTTAAAACTGATTGATTTCAAAATATCTAACTTATTTTGCTTTTTCCTTCCATCTTCGTCTATTCTCAGTGTGAGGTCATAAAATTCGACAGGAAAGTCTGAGGGACAGGGTTAGGGTCTGGTCACCAAATGCAGTGAGGTGGGCCACCTCACACTCAAATAGGCAGGGGAAACACTGCATGTACATGTACATGCAGATCACGTTTCTTGAACAAGACTATCTTACCATGTGATAAACATATAACACCAAAGAGCCTTTTCTATTGGCATGATGTCCATCAGAAAAGATGGACATCATGCCAGCAACACTTAAAGTGTCTTCCATTCACTTGCCCCTACTGTTAGGTGACACACCGCCAACAAAAGGCCTTTCTAAATCTAGCCTACTGGCCTTCATTTACAGCTCAACGATCAGTTTCAAAGTAAGGTGCAGGTAAGAATGATGCTTTCAAAAAGGTTTGTCGAGTTTAAGAATCTCAACTGGGGGGGGGATCACGTCATTAAAACTGAAGCTCGGCACCCTAGGTCCCAAACTGCTAAGCACAAGATTTTAAACTAACAGAGGCTCTACACATTTAATGGAGACCATAAGCAGTAAGCACAGCAAAAGGCAGGCTTACCTTGAAGGAAACATTTTGCTGAACTTAGTAACATAGTAATGAAAATCTCTATGCATGCGCAACTGCTGCACACACCAAGCATCCCCGTGATTAGGGTTAGCAAAGTTGTATGCTTTAGTAAGCAAGACATTTCTGCTACCTATCAAGGAGCTCCGTGAAATTAGATCCTTGACAGAAACACAGATTTAGAAAAAGAGCCCCGACGTACCTGTTTGATTTCTCGGCTGGGCCTGCGGTCAACAGCAGGCTTTCTGTTGGCTGTGGCTGAGCTGGAGTTGGGCCGCCGCCTGCCCAAGTATGAAGGTGCTGAGGCAGGCCCACTATTTGGGTCAAGGGCTTGGGGCTGAGGTATCCGCGGCAACGTTGGGGTGCTCCCATTTCGGACACTGTACATGTAGTTCAAGAAGACAATGCTTGTTGTCGAATAACACCATCCTTGAAATCATTCAATCTTCAGTTCGATAAGGAAATGAAGATTAACTTGTGCAAAATGTAAGAAGGGCTTCCATGTTAAATGTGAGGAGGAAAATCTTGTGCAAAAAAGGGTTTAATGAAATCTGATGAAACAAGTTACTTACAATTTCTTGGTGCCTTTTTGAGGAGAGTTACCTGAAAAAGAGATGAATTAAAATGAGGCTAGGTAAACACATACATGTAATTCTACATAACGATCACAAAGAATAAGATATAAAAAGAAGCAAGCATAACATTACAAACCCACATGCAAGCTAAACGAGCATATATACAAAGGAGAATTCTCACTCAATTCACAAAACAGTCATTAATAGACATTTCTGTGTTTATTCCACTTATGACCAGCAAGGAAGTCACTGTGCCTTTCTCTATTCTCATGGCATGCTGTTCGCACCCTCCAAGTTTCAGTGACATAATTAGAGACCAAATTCTACTTACCATCACTACTGATCTTCTTTGTCACCTTGGGGTACTTCTGAAACTTCACATAATAATATGATTCATATTCCTTTGAAAAGAAATCACAGATGTAAAAAGAGGAAAGGTGATCAGTATTAATGAAAAACGCAAAATTTAAAACTTGCTTATTGATCAGATGAACTTAAAAATGAGACTGGAAAAATGGACATATATCTTGATTTTTTAAAATTTAAATAAGCATTCTGAGCTCCACGTAGAAACTGTTGGGGGTTGCTACAGCCTTTATGGGAGACTTTAAAGTGATCAATGGCTCTTTTGAGTGACACAGGTGATTCTTTGAAAGGTGGTCTGTAAATGCTTTGGAAAAGCAAGAGTTCGATCAATTATTAAACTGTAGGGACCCTTGACTGGTTCATTTTGCAAGCACCTTGTGTTTTCAGTTGGAAATGTTAAATAAGATAAATGCCAAAAAAACTGATATTGAACTCAAACACAGCAGTAGATAAAGGTTCACAGGAAAAGAAGGGGTCCGGACTATCTGTGTATTCCTTTAAACCTAGGTTTCCACCTGAGCACCCACTTTTACATCCTGCATTGTCCTGCAAGCTAAGATGCTCCACCAACACTGATTGAAAAATGGTACCACTTGACAAAGCTTTGAAACTGATTTTTCTGTTTTGGTTGGAAGAAATGGTCAGTTCACTCCCTTCTCATCAAAAACTAGAAGCTGGAGATATTACTATTTCACAGTACTATTTCACAGTTAAGCACTGAGCACAGTACAACCGTGCTTAACTCAGAGGAAAATATTGCTGAAATCAGTGATGTATTTAACACCACAAACTTCCATGTGCACCCAACTGTTATCACATGCATGCCACAAATTAGTCTTGAAGCAACAGGATTACTTTTTTTGTTTTGGTACATATAAGTACAACAATTTATAATTCAGTGGTGCTATGAGATTTAGCTCTGTAAAACGAAAGAAAAAGGTCTTACCATTAATATTGTTTCAAGGTCCACATTATCGCACACCTCATAGCGGCTAAAGCTGAGGTTACTCTCCTGTTCCAGTGACTTGGCCGCTTCAGTGTAGCCCTCCTGGACCAGATGGTGCAGGACTAGAATCAGGAGGTTTTTCTTCCGTTGCTCTGTCTTCTGCTCGTCCTGTTTAGTGATGAGGATGGACACAAACTGAAGTGTAAATTGCCCTTTATGTAGTGATGTCAGTCACCTCACTTACTTCCCCCACAGCCACTTTGCCCTTTGGCACTTCATCCATCTGTCACTTTGCCCATGTGCTACAATGAGTCAATTTACGAGCTAATTAATGACTTTCTAGTAAATTTCAAACAAGTCTAAATATCTTTTAGTTTTACAGTAAAAACAGATAACATATCGACTGCTGAAAGAAACCCAATTTGATTTGAATTCTGATACATGACACATGGGGTTAGTCTTATGAGTGGCATGTGGTGCTGTTATTCCTTTATCTATGCATGGAAGAATAATACACGGCTGCGTTTATGTCTCATGAATGCATGGGAGGATACTTCATTACTTTGTGACTGGCATTAAATTACAGGAGGGGTAGGAAGTGGGCCTCCTTGTTATCTCCCTGGTGGAGAAGTCAAGGAAAAATGTCTACTACATGTAAGTACCAGTACTAAGAGTTGTTTTTTAAGTCCAAACAGATGGGCAAAGTGGCACATGGACAAACTGACAGATGGGGAAAGTGGCACATCATAAAAAGACAAAAGGGCGAAGTGGTTGAGGGCGTGAGTGTACCTGTGGGTAAAGTGGCAAATGGGCAAAACGACTGTATAGGTCACAGAGTGCTACATGTACATACATGTACATACGTGTAGCTAAGAACTGACGCACCGAGATACCTCATACACAGTATACATGAGTCAGTCCTTGTTACATGGGTAACTTTTACCATATGTCATGACCTGTACATGTAGGTCATTTACTCTGTAAAAACATTAAAAGTAGCACACACCTCTGTATTTAGCCTTGCAAGCTGTACATGACAATGTCAATTTGGAATCTAAATGAAGGAAAATAGCTGTTCATTTTTACGGAACCCATGTAACAAATGACAAAGTCACAAATTGTGTCGCAACCTCATGGAATGACCCACATACAAGTAGCAGGGCTTCCCATAAAGTGCGAGGTGGCCAAAGAATAAGATCTGCATGCATTGCACATGTACACATACGTGTATACATGTAGAACTACATCTCACGGTTTATTCACCCTTCAATACAATTTTTCTAACATACATGTCTAGTTAGTCCCACACAAAAATAGCAAACCTCGAAACAAAACTCAGATTCAAACCTGGGCCCTCATGTTCTGACGGAACTGATAGCACGCACTGTACACCATGCTCAACCATGTGATCAGTTAGTTTTGGAAGGCGACTCCAATACTTACATGTAGGCTAATGGACAACTTAATGCCAGCTGTATAAATTAAGAAAATAAATAATGTGCAACCAGATGACCAAATAATCACACAGTTTGAAAACTGTGACTGAATCATGGTTAACTATACATGTGCATCTACATTAACATGTACATACATGTATGCACATGAAAATGATATTTGATTGTCTTACTTCATTTTCTTTCACCCAAACAGGGCTTGGGCTTAAATTCTCTGATTTCAGCAATTTACACACGCTACAAGCATACATTTGTTGTATATTGTGGTAATGTTACTGGTTCATATTGTTTCAGCAAGTGAATAATAATAATAATAGGCCTAGTAATAGTTTCTTTGACAGCACCCTCCACAGAAACTTAGTAGGTCGGGGACTAAACACTATCAACATCTAACAAAAGAAGCACATTGCAACAACAATGGACACTACGTGTAATTGCTAGTGCACTGTGTTGCTTTTGTTAGGTGTTCGCAGTGACACCACAATTTAGTGATGTTTCTAGTTTCCACTTCTGTCGCTTGTTCAAGTAGCAATGACATCATTTTTATCAGGTAACATACCTGTATAATGATGTCATTTTTTCGCCATGTCCTGTAACGTTGGAGTCTACACCAAAATTATTTCAAATCGATATTTTGGAAAATGGCCACAGTAAACATACAATTTGCCACAGTAAATCAATGCAGATTTCAATGGCAACATTTTCATGCATAAAGTAAACTTTGGTAAAGCTTTAGGAAGTTTAGGGGCCAATTTTTTCGTGTAGGCTAAATTTATGTTTTCATTGGCAGAAGTGAACTTGCCTAATTAACCACCGAATTCAACACCTCCAATGCAAGATTTGACCGAAAAATCTCCTCTATCCGCTTTTAGAGATACCAAAAGAAGGAAAAGTTTTATCTAGATCAAGAGTATGTCATGTTTCCTGTAAATTTAATCAATCAGAGCAATTGGTATTGAAGTTTTCGGCTGACAGCGATATAGAGGTCAATGTCATCTACAAACCTCGACCCAGAAACAGCTCAAAATTACGTCATCGTTGCACAATCGAGTGGAGTATGCACAGTCTGACGTCGTCGCTAGATTGTGGTTTGGTCCTTGACCTGCTTAGGCATGTCAGGGCAAATCCATTAATGTTAAACATAAAAATTTCTAAACAAAGAAAAAATAATTACATATGTAGGCCTACACCTATACGCAGTTACTTAAAAAAGATACATTTAAAAGCATTGCGAAATTAGAAAACATTGCGTAAAATGAACTGACATCGGTCTGATATTTCCTTGATGTAATGTTTGCCACATAGTCCTAAGTACTGTCCAGTGCCAGGAAACACAACGCCAGATGAGATTATCTTCATGATTGTGATTATCTTCATGATCAATTTTGGGATTGGCTATCGATCAGAATGTTTACATTATTATTTCTTGTCTCCCTCATAGTCATACAACACCATCAAGGATAAAACATTGGCATAGAACTGGCTTATTTTCATCTTTTAAATATTACCGCTTCTCTGGCATGATTGGCTGTTTTAATCGCGACATAACTCAGCGATTCCATGATCCTGAATCCGCAATTTCTGACAATTGCGTCCTCCGTTGCCTGGACTTTTGACGATCTTGACCTTCTTCGCCTCGTGCGGTAACATTATACTTATGTTTAACGTAATACTTATACAACAACAATTGCGATTATCAAATTTACATTTCTCACAAATGATAAGTTAAAATGTTCAAAATTATTTGTAAAAATCACATAAAGTGTATTTAGGGGCATAAAGATACAATAATTTGAAAGAGGCAAACACTGCGCATGCGTGATGAATACGGAGGAAAAATTGTGAATGAAACTGCTGTCGAAAGAAGTACACAAATGTCGTCGACGGCGATATGGCGGATTTTGACGATTTAAAGGTGATTGAAATCTTCAAATTTGTATGAACTGATTAGTCATGTGTACTACACTTGACTGTCAACTTAGATAGGATATAATGCGCGTATTTTGTTAAAATTTTTGCCACTTTCGGGAGGTGTGTTTTATCAACATCGTCATGTTTTATCGCATTTGCCATGATGTAGGCCGAGCCTAATGTACGTGTACATGTACACGCCATATCGTCAGGCATGTTCATCATGGTCAGTGACCGGTGACGGTTACTTTATTACAGTGTATTATAGCATGTTAATAAGTAAGGTCCAGTAATATGCCTAACGAGTAGTGATAAGTCAAGATATGGCGAGGCGAATGAAAGTGTTTTTTGGAAGGTAGTGTATATTTTGCCGGCGACAGCAAAAGTTTTTCAAAGCTACATGTAGGGGCCTAGGCCCCATTTTGCTGGTATGTGTTTCCGAATGTATAATTTAGAAAATACCAGCCTTAATTGAGCAATGCAGTAGCTCAATAGGATAAAACAAATACCTGCGTGAGCGTGAGGTTGCAGGTTCAAACCCCAATGAAGAATTTTTTTCTTTTTTTAAAATTTCTTTTTCCTAGCACTGAGTATTTTTTTAAAGTAATAAAAATCTGAAAATTAATTAAGATAAGAGTTTGGCATTCATTACTATTAGCACCCTGTCATTAGAAAGTGATAACATGTCCAGAAACATGAAATCTAACTGTGAAAATTCCCAAACAGCAGTCCTTTTGTTTTAAGGCGTGCGATTGCACTCCCATGCCATCGCATGCCTAAAAACTTCCTGAGAAGTGCAAATAATTGCACGCCTGAAACCATCCATACCACACTCCTTGGCATGAGTTTACTTTATAATTACGAGTGGCTACTGTTACAGCAGCCGCAACACATCTCCCACTTTCTATCGTTACGGCACTGAACTGCGCAAGTGCGATGATGGTTTATATAATTTTAAAATTACCTGGATCGCTGAACGCTTGTGGTTAAGGGCTTAAGGTGGGAGATTCTAAACCTTTGGTGTGTGAGTTCTAATCCGCGCTTGGACCATTTTATTTTTTTTCGCCTAAATTTTATGTTTTATACCATAATTGGTTTTTTTTGTTGGTTTCTAATCTGCTAATTGTATAGGCCGAAGCAGGAATCTTTTTTTTCTTTTCTCATCGGAGGCTTTGGAGGATTTTAAAGGAAAATAAAGTCTGAAATCTGCACTAAGTTGGCGCGCTTGCAGTGCTGTGAAGATAGAAAATGGGAGATGCGTTACGGCTACCGTAACAATAGCCACGGTGTTATGATTATACTTTGCAATTTTTGAGAAAAATGAAATGAAAAGAATCAAACAATCGGCCTACTTAACAGTTAGTGATGACAGAATCATTTGTCAGCACACGCACGTCACACAGCATTGCAGCTAGCGTTGCTGCATGCATAATGCTACATGTACATGTACCAGACTTCTACACGTCACATGCAGTGCCGCGAGATCACACCACTTTTCAGTCAAATTTTCCAAATGAATTCCCTAATTATCCGAAGTTTTGGTGGAGATGTCTGTCCTTTAACTTGTTTACATCACAACAATTGCATTTCTCAAGGAAAAAAAATCTGGCCTTTTACTCTCATCTGCACAAAATGATCTCCAGAAGTCGACATGAAACAAAAAATTCCTTTAAAGTTGAGACTGGGACCAGACCAGTCAATCATGATGCACCACATAGTGCGTGAAAGCCATGGAGAGATCATGCCAGCGTGGATCGCAGCAAATTTTTGTGTGTTTCCCAATAAACATTTTTTAGCGTTATGAATAAAAATAACTCACAAGAAAGAGATCTGGCGAAAAGCAGCCTCAGCAAAATTGGGAGATTTATTTGAAAAATTTAATGGAGAATTGGAGTGAACTTGTGGCTCAGAGGAGCTCTACATAGTCCATCAAGGCTGCTATTAAGGAAAGGGCATGATTTATGACCGTCATAAAACTTTGAATCTTTTGACATATATTGGACATATCTCTTCGAGTTTGCTTGAAGTAAGCGGATGTGATCTGAAACTGTTGCATTTTTTTTTGGTTTTGTTGAGTGTTTATATGTAATGTTGACCCAATTTTATCTTTCTATTTTACTATGTCATGTATGTCTTGATTGACCCAAGGTTTTGATTCAGTTTTCAAAATCACAGGCCTAGAAAAATTGCACGCCTTGAAATGTCCAGGAGTGGTTTTTTCGCACGCCTACAATTTCTAAATCACAAGGACTGACACAGTTACTTGGAAAACACTTGGGTTTTTTTCAGGCAAGTCTCATACATTTGTGCACAGAGACATCGAGTGTTGTCCATATGTGAAACTTGTTCTGTTTTGTTTTTTCTCAAACTGCATCACCAAATCAAAGTAATAAACAAAATTATTCCTAATTTAACAAGTTCAAGAAACGCCAACTGGCAGGTTTTTCAGGTGTAAGGCACTAACATTAATGGTATCCCATAAAAGGACCTTTGCAGTGTACATGTACATGCGTGAATTATGGTAACATATAATGTACATGTACCATAAGTTTTACCTCAGCCGATTTGACTTGTTTGCAGGCGACAGTATTCCTGTCACTTCTGTGACATTCAGTGTTCTTCCATTTAGGATTTTAGTCAAATTTTAAGTTGGTGAAAGTGAAACCACAAGAAATCTTGTTTATTTATGAAAAAATTTGGTCAAAGTGTGCAATTGTGGTACCTTGTGGATATTGAAAATGAATGGAAGGACACAATTCCCTGTGATATCTGGGAGCTTTGTAACAGAAGGGTTTCCTCTTGAACATTGTTGAACAGGAAAGTTGAGTCTTGGTAATACAAGCTCAGACAGGTCAGACAAGACAAGATTCTGGTTTAGATTAGACTTGAATCAAGTCGGACTCACATGTACATGTACGCTACTCTTCCCAGTCAGTCATCCCTTCAGTCTCCACACGGTCATCGCGGTCAGCCCGGCGGCTGGCATACATGTAACCCTCTTAAGACACCCACATTTGATAGCTTTTATTGTACAACGTCTGTCATACATGTAAATGTATGTCACCAGTCAGTAAAGTTGACTTGACGGATAAGGCAATCGGACCCCATGTGGGTGATATGTACCGGTAGTTATTCATAATTGCATATATTAAACAACATGATCTTGCATAATATGATTTCCACCAAAGTAGTCATACTTACAGTGTATTTAGTTTTTTATTTATTTCTGATGACCAACAGCTGTTACCTGCCTCTTACATGCATCCGTGAGAAATAGATGAAATCTCTGAATTAAACAATGTACAAATAAATTATCCAAATAACCACAAAATTAATAAAAATTAAAACACCGACATTCCAAACGTAGCAAATTCTTAAGACACGAGTACTGGGCTAAAGAAGAGTAGGATATGCTTTGACAGACAAACAGGGCTCGGTAGAGAAACATAAAAGGAAAGGGGTGGGGGCGATAGAGAGGGAAGGAGGGAAAGGTTGAAGGGATGAAGAGTACATGTACATGGAACAGGGGTATGTGAACAAAGAACTGAGGCAAGGGGGACAAACCACAAGGGATTAAAATGGGGGAGACCAGAGAGGTGAAGATCAAACGAATAAGAATAATTTGAAGTTGAATAGTGGAGTTATGAGGGCCAAAAAGGGGTTAAAGGGAAAAGGGAAGAAATAGCTTTAGTAATGCTATCACTGGAGAAAAGAATCATAGGACTGGATGAACACAAAAAGTATTTTTAAAAAATAATAAATAAGTACATTATGTACGTACAATCTAGTAACTCTTGTATGCACACATCACAGACTCGTTGACGTTCATAATAATGCTGGTATGAACGACATAAAAGTATTAGAAACAAGTCCGGCAATGTTATTGGCTGCTACCACTTTCGGTAGATGAGCCCATTAGCTGTGCACAAATGGTTGGCAGATTCGTCAAGTTGGGATTTCTTAACTCACAGTAATAATTGGACACAAGAGGGCACAAACCAAGTAACACGGCACAGTGTTCAAAAACCTCCATACATCAATCTCCAGTATAAAGGTATAAACGTTTACGCAGACAAACATCACACAGGATCCCAACTTGATCAAGTCTAAGTTCAAATGAGCATATTACGCCAGTCCTGACCAAAATGTGTACATTGTTATTAGGGAAAAACTCGTTAATGTGAGTTTGGACTCTTTCAGTCCAGTTTAGTACAAGTATTTTGTTGCCTATCATTTTGTATGAGCATTTTGAAAACATCTTGTCAATTAACGAACCCATTCAATAAAGGTGCTGCTGTACTAGACATAGTGATAATGCCTAATTGAGTAGTGCAGTTTTTAGGCATTTTAGGTTCCTTAGTGATCAAAGGGCATTCTGTATGGGGGCTATTCATGCTGCCTGATCCAAAACAATACAGATAATTAGTGTTTACGATTCCCAGGCCATCAGAGGATATGAATTTAAGAAAAACCTGTTACCAGCTCCCCATCAAAAGATGAAAAAGAGCAGAGACAAATATCCTAACCATAAATGTCCTTCAAAAATCACCTTCATTTCCTGTTACAGAACAATCTACATGTACTGTCCACACAAAAATTCACTGGTTTCTTTCACATTGTGCATTTATCAAAATGCAACTCTGTTATCTTTCACTTAGTAAAATGTACATGTACTTAAGCTTGTGTCTCGCACGGCATCGGTCAAAATGGTACGGGTTACGTACATCGCTACAACAGTGATTGGTGCTGGGTCCACTTACCCATTGTTGTGTTTGATGAATTGTCTGTGTTCTCAAAATTTTATCATACAACTTTTATAAGTGCAGTTTTTTATTGTTATACTGTACGTACCTGTACATTTCACTTTCGTAAAAAAACTTGTTTAAACTCTTGAAAGCATACTCATTACCGTACGTGTATCATCAACAAGTGTATACACTGCACGGGTATGTAACTGGTATGTTCGATAAACAACGCATACCAGTAGAAAATACTTTTTAATGCTTAAGTCGAGGTTCAATAATATGAGATGATTTAGTAAGTCCTAAGACCCTCGTACTCTTAAGAGTCAACTGAAGACCAGCCAAGCCAGGGCAGGAATTTCATTCTTGAAGAGGCAAGGCAATTTTTAATTTACAAAGGGCACATGTATGAGAAAGTCAACTTGTCTATGGGGACATTTCAATGGGCATTGAGGCAAAGACCAGGTACATCAAGGCAGTTGCCTCTGATGCATCCGTGAAGTTCCTGTCTTGAGCCAGGCTCACGTTTATTTCCTTGTTAATGTTTAATGTACATGTACGGTATGTGTTTGTGTAAAAAATGTGTGAAACATGACATCAATACATGTAGGTTTCCTGTATTGTAAAGAATTTGGGAGTATAGGAAGCTCATGGTGAGAGTGTTTCATGGGAGTTACCGTACTTACATGTAAAGTCTCCAGATTTGTTTCTTAGTGAAGCCTCTGGAGGGGTGCCTGTGTAACAATTTGTCAATTTACATTGAGCCAGTACTGCAGTGTAATTTGATGCAAAATAAGATCAACCTTTAAATGTGGAAAAACTGAGTGTGGAAGATTTCTGTTCTGTTGCCAAGATGCCCTTTATAAGAACACTAATGTCTAAAGTCTGACTTTTTCCCCCTCATGGTAGCACATGCTGATGAGTTTCCGAGTTTCAGAGCTCCAGGTGCTCCTTGGGTATGCAGGAAGGAACAAGAGTGGCCGCAAACACGACCTACAGACCCGTGGCCTGGCACTCCTCAAGAACGGCTGCAGCACCTCCGTCCAGATCAAAATCCGGGAACTGTACCGGCGCCGGTTCCCCCGCAGACTGATCAACCCACCCCAATTCATGCCGGGCATGTCAGATGGGGCGGGGTCGGGAGGCGGGACCACTCACCCTCACCATCCTGTGAGCAACCCCCCTCTCCCGTCCTACCCGACGGCAATGAATATGCACCAGTCGGTGCCACATGAACTGTTAGGAGCCGCCTGCCAGCCACAACCGTTTCACCCTGATGTGAAGCTGAAATCATTACCCTTCTATGATGTGCTCGGCGAGCTTGTCAAACCAACGGGATTGTGTAAGTTTTACAGTTACGTAAATTGTATCTATCAGGGTAAGTTGTTAAATTTTGCCCTGAGTGATTTGACAATTCATGACTTCTGTATTTTTCAACGCATATATGCGTTGAAAAATACAGAAGTCATGAATTGGTTAATTTTTTCTTACTCTCTGGCTTTCTTTCTCAGCGCGTGGTATTAAGGAAATACTCCTGAAATATAGCGGTAATGCATCTATTGAAGCTGACCTTATACGCTGGATCTCTTACATGTATGCAAACATTCTGGACAAAGTTGTCCACTCCGTCAAAAACATTCAAGTGCCTGTTTTCAACAGTTGAGTCTCATGCCTACATGTATATAAAGCAGAAGTGAATGGCTATGACTTCCTATAACTTGGTATATACATGTATGTGTACGTGCAGCTGTGATTTGACTGTCGAGGATTGTTAAGCCGGCTGCATGTCAGTCTTTGCCAGCTGACAAAATTCTGTCTTAGTATCGACCAGCATTATAATCGGACTGTCTTTGACTGTGGATTCAAACCCATGACTCCCTGCTTACAAACCAACCTTCCATGTACATGTATTGTATGTATGTACATGTACCTTACAAATGTATGTTGGTGCAAGGGTACTAGCAGAACCAATTATAAAATTAACATCTCTCAGATGCAAAGCCAAATGAATTTCATTAATTAATTACACCTTACATGTGCAGTGTACATTGTTTACATTTGTACATGTTGCGCAGCAGTACATGTAACTTGATAAATAATGCAAACTATTTTCAGACCTTGTTTTTTAACAGAAAGGTTTTCCCAGGGTAAATTATAAGTAAACATTCTACATGTACATCATTTTATCATGCAGTGTACATGTACAAAATACTGTACATGCGTGCATACACATACTGTACATATACATGTAGCGGTATTCAACGGGTATGCACATGTGCATGTACATGTATGTATAGAGTTGAAAATTACTTTAATGCTTCCACTGTTACTGTCACAATTGTCAGATTTTATTAAATGTACTGTAGTTCATACATTTGTACATGTACGTGTGTGGTTCCAAATGATTTTGTGATGTCTCTTTGGCAAGCAGATAATACATGTACAGTACATGTACATGTATGTATGTATTTTAGAAGCTATTGATTCCTTATTTCTTCACTTTCCATTTGCCAGAAGCAAAATCATTGGCCTTGGTGATAGGCATCACTTCATCTGTCATTCCTCTGTCCAATGCTAGTGATGAGTGCTGTCCCCTAGATACTGTACATGTACCGGTACACTGTACATGTAAGGTACATGTACATGAATGGTTCATACATGTATATGTGCATGTATATGTACATGTTCTTCTGAATGTGGGTATTCAACTTGTACTAAAAACTTCTGTGAAAGGTGGTGCACTGTGAAAGGAACTGAACGGTCAGGTCAAAGTGGCAGTGCAGGCTTTACAGGTCATGTGCAGTGGTACCACATTTCCAATTTTCTCCCTACTCACATCTTTGAGGGTAAGGTATTTTATTTGTTTTAGGATGTGCAGTTTACCAGTGCATGTACATGTTCGTGCTTATAACATTGCATACATGTACATGTACTCAGTGTGGTGTGGTTTGCACTATACCCAAGACCACACTGCAAACTAACAATATAACATGCATGGCTGCACCATTTTACATGTCATACACGTGCACATGTACAGGGGTCGAAATTAACCTTCTTTTCCTAGTAGCCAGCAGGACCAGTGCTTCAAAATTTTCACTGGTCCTGCTGAAAGTTTGGTGGCCCCACACCAGAACCGCACATGCAGCCGCTTGAGCAATCCTTGTTATGGCGCAGGCTGCGACAATTTTTTTTTTTAAGTTTGCCGGATGGGGCAGGCCATGCCGTAAATTGCTTGCTCAAATAGGATCAACACTTGGCCCAAGGTTTCTTGGAATCCACATTAATTATATTTATTTAACTTAAGCCTACTGCAATGCATGCAGTCTTTTATTAGGCCCAAAACAGTTGTGCTATGCCTCAAAAAAATAAATAAATAGGGTCGGTACATGTAGGTCAGAAATTTGTTTGTTTGGGGGGCAAATTTTTGTGCTGATTGAATGGCATCAATGGGGACGACAGCTTTCAAAATTATCTCAAAAAGTGGTTTAAAACCTGTCTTAATCTATGTAAAAATCTTTACATTTGACAATTCACAAGAAAATTAGAGACAATTCACACAGTGCTACTCAGGCGATCCCGACAGCAAACTGGCCAATAATGTCCATGTATCGTGTGGCAAGGGTGCGTGATGCATCCGGACCAGCGGGTGATAAACCTTGAGCCAGAGCCATGAGCAGAACAACCTCAAATTAAACTCATGAACGCAGAAAATACATAAACAAATAAGAGACCAAGTTTTGTGAATTAACTTGCAGAAAACCTCTTGCAACATCGATGTCTTTTTGACCTGCAGCCTTAGGGTTGCATCCTTGACGTGTATGGCCGATGTAGAGGGGACATGTACACCATGTACAGTACAGACTGGTTCTGGTTCCTACGGTACATTTCCATCACGCATTCTTTTGCATGGGTACAGCGCGGTGGACACCAGAGCAGCTTCATTTAATGCATTGAGCTTTGTGCACATGTTTTCACCACTGCGGTAGCGAAACCTGAATGGAAACTCGTGAAAATAATGTTTTTTTTCTTAAAACAAGCATTTTAATGTGAAGAAAGGTTATTGAAAGAAATTTGTGAAGACAGAAAAGACATCAGAGTTCAACTGGCCCACCGGACCACCGGTTTTATCAGATCAGCTGGTCCGCCGACTTTTTTACTTACCTCGGGCCAGCGGACCACATTAATTTCAACCCCTGATGTAGAGTACGTGTCGACACATGTATGCACATTATACAATTCTTGCCTCCTTCGTAGGGGTCCATGGTGTTTTTTACACCTTTGGGGGAAATGGCATCCTCAGCTTCACCTCCGGTGGCAGTTGCCTCCAAAAGTGTGGAAAGCCCCTGTAGCAACAAACAATTGGTACACCACAGTAATACTTAGTAGATTTGACAAATGTAAGGGAATACAGTGTAATTAACAAATTAGTTGACCACTGTGGTATGGGATATGACGTTGTGAACACCCAAGGGATGCATAGCGCCCCGAGGTGAAGCTGAGTGCGCTATGCGTGCCTGAAGCTGAACAATTTCAAAAGATGATGGGCCTACTGTAAAATTGTGCAGTTTACGTACGTAAACGATATTATTTATGAACGTTCTGTCCCGTCCCTTTCATTAATTGCATAAATGCTAATGTGAAACTAGTGCGGGAACCAGTGAGTACATTTATATAGTCTGGTTAGCGGTTCCCGCATTACCTTATACACTGCGGGAAGGGAACGAGTCTGTTATATGAGCACGCAATCATTGATCGAATTCCCTGGTAGCCTATGCACAAAATGTATAATGGGTACCACACAAACCTGACTAAAGGACCACATATATTAGTTCTCGAACTTCCCGAAGCTGTTCTGTTTCACTCGCGCACGCGTGTGCGTGCACGCACCATTGGTAGAATGATGTGTCTCAAGATGAGTGTGATATGCGGATATATTGTCCTGTCATGTGATCGTTCTGGGCCAATAAAAGGACAGTATCCAAGACAGAGGTATGACAATGTGAAACTCTACATGTACATATACTAGTACAGTACGTTCCAATGCAATCCATTCTGCAACATTGAAATTGTCTTCAACAACCAAGTGTGAAATTGAACACATAAATTGAATTATTGGTAGGGAGTACTATCTTTGTCTTGACATTTCCAAAAAGAAATCCAGAAAAGTCTTATTCTGTCATACTTAGTAGGTTGTACATGTATCTCAAACTGCAGGTTCTGTATCACACTTGCACATGTACCTGTGGCAATGCAGAATGAGGAACTAATGAAACTGGCCCACTTGAAAACACAAATAGACAATAATGGACAAAAAGTGTTTCATGGTTCTCACAGCACATACATGTAAATGTACATGTACGTCTATATACACTATATACTGGTACATGTACATGAACTAATGTAACATTGGTACCACTACCAGCACAGCTGTACAGCCATGTACCCAAGGCCATGCCAGTACAATGTAATGGAAATGACACTGTCAATGGTTTGAAAGATCAAGGTAATGAACCCTGTGGGGAAAAATCACTTATGTACATGTACAGTATATATCATTTGATCTATTCTCGACCAATACTTTGCAATACTTTGTACTTTGAACATATACATGTACATGTACAATGTACAATTGCGTGAACTTGCATACATGTATCACGTTGTATCAGGTGCATACATGTACATGTAATTATGTACATGTGTGCAGGGGTTCAATGTACACAATGTCTAAATTTTGCAATCAATTGAAGCCATACAGTTGAACCATAGAGCTACATTGTACATGTACTACATTTATACGTACAGGTTCATGTACATACATGTACTAGTATACAGTGTACATGTATCGGTACATGTACATGTATATTGTAATTTTCGGAATAAACATGTAAGCCCCTTGGCGAACATGCACAAGCCGCAGCACGCAAAAATTGGCAAGTTAAGATTTAAGTCAATGTATAAACTGCAGCACTGACAACCACAAAGGTCATTTCTGCTGGGTGCTGAAGTACATGTACATGTACCAGTACAGCTTGTACAGTCGTTCCATTGTACTCATGTGCAATCCTAATAAATAAGCAGTGTGCGAACGAGTGCCACCATTAAAAATGAATTTTAAGCCCTCGAAAATCAATCATTTTTGTGAGCTACATGTACATGTAGATGATTGTCCTGCATGGGCCTTGCAGCAGCTCTTGCCCTTTTTTCCAAGCAGCCAGGGAAAGTCATGGGGATGGAATGTTACATGTACAATAAAATCTTGATAACTCGAAGTCAGTTACATGTAAGTCGAAAGACTGTTTTATTTTGTAGACCCACTTTTTCTGGCTAAAAGAATACAATTCTATGTACAGAATACCTTCATAACTCAAAATGTTCACGGCACTGCAGCCAGTTGTCTCAAAATCTTTTTGATGCTGATAAAAAAACACTACCAAATCACTTCAAAAATAGAAGGCAAAGGACCGCCGCAAGACCTTGGTTCGAGTCATCACTGCCGAGCACGACGGCCTGTGTTTTGATGCGAGCTGCACTGCACACATACTGCATATATACACCACCCTGCACCGACCGCGACAAATCCTGCTTTCGACTGCTGCCACAGACCCATTCAGTTTCTCATATTTTCCAGTAACCACATGACCTCAGAAAGTGATGTTATCAGAAAACCCAAGTGAAAACGAGCCCAAAATTCTGTGGCATATCATGCCAAACATGACACAATCAGCAAAAGGCTACACGAATGTACAAGGTACATGTACATGTACCATTTAAGCGGTTGATTTTTATTTAGTGGGAGAAAGAAACCTTTAGGTAACAAAAATAAAAATATCAGTAAACGATTATTTGTGTGCAAAAAATACACCATGTGAATGAATAAAAAGCAGCAAAATAATCACTACAATGTTGCCATCACTGCAGAGCAAGTAAAGTTCATTATGATTACATACACCTGTACACAGTTCATGTACATGTATGTGTTTCGTGACTCAATGACTTTGGGAATTTCATTTAGTAACTCCGGACAACTTTATTTTTTATTTATTCTCTGAAGTTCGAGTTATGTATTTATGGCAACCAACGAAAACATGACTGCGCTACCTGCACGCTTTACGCATGGCCCGGGCGCAGCTTTTGTGACCGAATTTTTAGCCTTCAAAGTTTGCCATACACTTGTACGTAAATAAGCCGCCTGACATATAAGCTGCAGAGACATTTTCCAGTGTGAGAATCAACATACACCTGTACAAACCATGTCCTACATGTACATGTACAGTATATTCCAAAATTTGCAGTACATACTGGTACATGTTTCACACACGCATATATAAATTTTCAAACTGCATGTACATGTAAAATCTACATGTACTGTACACTGGCCAAAAAATCAGTGCATGAATGGACATGATGGTACGTGTTGTATATGTATACATCAAGTACACAAATGTGAGGGAAGGTGTCAAATTACCAGTCTAAAAATAGCTTGTCAGTAACCTAATGAGGCACATGCCTGCAGCAATGCATAGCTGCATCTCATTAGAGACCCTGGAGGGAGATGAAAAGATTCCTCCTCTCACTCCTTGATACAGGGCTTGTAAAAGGGTATCCATGTATAGGTTGATGGGAGAGGGAGTTGATTAAAACAGGAAAAAGTTTACTTTAATAAGTTACATGTACATGTTAATTGGTAAAAAAACTGTGGCCTACCAGTAGATTGTCAATAAGGTTAAATCAGTGCATGCACATGTTCACAGCAATTTCTACGCGGGTCGCATTGTACAAGAAGGTCCTGTTCTGGGTTGTCCGTTGTTTAGAGTACAGTACAAGCATGGTATCTTTACACATGAATGTATACATGTACGCACATAACATGTACCAGTACATTGTGTTGAACATTTCGGGACCTGCTGGTACATTCAGCAGACAAATGCAAACTCAGAAAGCTTTAATTTAGATGCAAAAATACACCTAAATGGGTTTCCCAGAGCAGTACTATTTTTTGGTACATGCACATGTGCATGTATACATGTAAGTATTGATTACATGTACATGTACTTGTTCACGTACATGTACATGTAATATCACCCTTGGTTGTGTCAAAAGCCACAAGGTCTGATTGTTACCTGTACAAGTGGGTTAATAATTATGACAGAAAAGTCAGCCTTCTGCGGCCCTGAAGAGCCAGCACACTCACAAATTGCTGTCATTACATTTCCAATAATTGCCATGCAGCAGTTGCTGCTAGCCTGTCATAGTTTTTTTTTTATTTGGAGGATGTCAGACATCTGTCATAAAACGTCCTTCATGAGAGCTTGCTCATGTTTTTGAGGCCACTGCAGGGGAAATCTTAGTTCAAACAACAAAGTATGTATGCATGTACATGTATGCAGGAAATAAAATTACCATGTCATAAATACATGTACTTCAGGCAAATGCGGAGCCGAGCAAATGTGGCAACAATATTCACATCAAAGTTTGCTCGAAATGAAACATGAGGGAATCAAACTGTGTTCAGTTTTTGCAAATTTTCTTGAAACCTCCTTTGTGGTAATTTTCTTGCCAAGTGCAGCTGTACGTATGTACTGGCCTTAAGTCTGAGGAAGTTGTCCAGTATACCGGTACAAGTAGACTTGTCTTATGATGTCCCCTCAAGATCCTAAATTAATTTCAAAAATCAATTTCCCCACGATTTCTTGTTAATGTACATGTACATGTGTAATTGTTTTGTTTGCAAATGCTGACGTGCATCCCATCAAGTGTGTTACAGGTATGTGTATTTGGGTTTCTGCAGTGCCCCCAGTTGGAAGCAAGTTCCGAGAGGTACACAGAACCGTATTTTTCCACTTCACCCCGGCACAGATGCAGCTTATCGTTGAACAGAAAGCACAAGTGCAATTAAGGTGAGCAGCTGTGTGGGCTTCTTATTTTGGTCTATTGTTTGGAACGTTATCAAAAGAGACGAGACCTCTATCTTTCACATTTCAAAATCGACTTGTTGTTTGAAACATTACGTACAACAGCCCAAGCATTTTTGTAATTAATGTGAACAGGTGGTGAAGATGAGTTTGTTTTGTGTTTGTAAAATTCCTGTTGTCTTGTAAAGCAACTCAGCAGGAGTTATTTCAAAGAAAATGTTTTTATTGCATACTTACATGCACATGTACCAGTATGTGTACCATAATTAAAACAAGAGCACCATTTATTTTTATGAGAGCAGTTTGTCATTAGTGTCATGGGTACATGTACATGTCAGTATTATAATTTTATTAGTTTTACACTTGAGGTATTAATTTGTTGGTTTTTCACTTGAGGTAAAAATTTGTTGGTTTTTCACATGAGGTACAAATTTGTTAGTTTTATACTTGAGGTACAAATTAACTATTACGATTTGGCTGAAACAAAATTTGACTTCAAGGCATCTTTTGTGTGTACAAGTTCCCATTTATCCATGAAGGTTTTGCAGGTTTTTAACCACGTATACAGGACCTGTGAAATATGAGTTTTTGGAAAGTTTGCAGGGTTAAATGTTTTCTTCTGGATTCTGTAAAACTTGGCATTGTTTGCATTGAAGAAGTCAAGCGAGAGCCATTCTTGAAATACTTAGCCATGATGTTCAGTCCCACCCACTTGTGAGAATTGCGAGTTGCTTAAGTTTTGTGCTTGCCACTGAATATGCTGGTGGATGCGGTGCAAGGATACAGGAGTGCAAGTTGTGTGTACCAGTATGCATTGGTACCAGTGGAACAATCTCTTCCATTTGTGATTGTCGGGTGAATATGTTTACACATCTAGCTGAAGGGAAAACCGACCACTTCAGACATGTAAAGGAATAAGATTTACATGCACTTTATGCAAAGAGTTTTTGAACAGGTTAGCTCAAAATGAAAATAGAATGTTTATTGTCATAGTCTGTGGTCTTTTTTTTTTTTAATTCAGCAAGCCATTCAGACTTGTCTGATAATTTTGGCAAACATTTTGCATTTATGGCATGATTATTAAATTAGTGCTGTGGGTTTTTGTTTTGTTACCCTCAGGTTTTGTCTGGCAGAGACGAGTTGCGACCAGGACGACAAGTTTCCAGCCAGCGTCTGTGTCAAAGTCAATAGCAAACTCTGCCCGTTGCCAGTAAGTACAAGCATCTGCGCTCGTGTGTCATCGTTTTGCAGGTTGGATTCTGAACAGCCCTCATCAGAGGTTGCTGTGGGGAGCTTGGCATAGTGGTAACCTGGAGGTTGTAACTCACGATCAGAAGGTGGGGGTCAGCAATGGGGAAGGAAAGTTTGGAGTCCAGTTGCTGACCGTAAAGTGTGTTGTGCCCCTTGACAAATCTCTTCATTCCTGCTTGCCTCCAGCCACTGACATGTACAGACCCTGCCTAAACACCAGCATTAGCTAAGAATTAAACCTGTAGTGGGCTGACATCCCATCTAGGAGAAAATAGAAGCGCATGTATTTTCAGTTATTTCAAGCCTCAGAAGGTTGAAATAAAAACTTTCAAAAATACACGTAGTGGTAGTGACAGTGCACAGTGTATGTACGGTATATGTTGTCCATTATAGTACATGAACATGTAGGTGCTGCCGATCCAAATCTGAACATAAGTAGATTTAATGGTTAAAGAAGGGAATGCAGCTCGGGCATTAGTCGCATCCATTCTCCTGAGCTGGTCTAAATGCACGTTTAAGACCGGCCAAGCACATACATATTCCTATTCATAAATACCTTTTTAGAGTCAAAAGAAACCAGTATATGATGGGTTTTTCAGAAAATTTTGGTCTAGAATTTTACTTCTATTTTCGCGAGCAGCCCAGTCCATTTTATAGAGTATTCCTTGCCCAAATTGTCCAGTTGGCACACACGTGGCGAGCCGCATGCACACAGACTCTTCACCAATCAGAACCGATTAAACCTTCTTGTATCCAGGTGCCACAGTGTGATTTATGCAGCAGGCATTATCACTTCTTAGCGTGCATTATCAAATGTTAATACGCAGTCAAATTGCACGTTGTTGAATAGGGAGACTGTCTGAAATAATTAGGAATGCACGATAATGAGCAGTGACACCCAACAGTAGGTTTACTTAACAGTGGAACTCATTTTCAACATTAGACAGCAACCACAGTATACATGTACATACCCGAAGCCCTTGAGAAATACTTGGAGGTTGTCATGAGTTCATTCCTGTTACAGGTAGCTACATGTACATGTACATGTATGGAGCTCAAAGGAGGTATCACAGCTGTGCCTTTCACAACAAACACCAATACTGACAGATGCTCAGACATCCTCCCCCTAAATTTTTTAAGTCAACTTGTGTTGAGTTTTGCCATCAAAGACTAACGAAATATTTGGATCAAACAAGCAAAAGTTCCTGTAGGAGAAAGCAAAAAAGAAAAACACTAACTGAAACGAGGAGTTTAAGATACTGTGTAACTGGAGAGTTACATGTACATGTAAATGTAGTGGACTGTTGATTATGCTAAATTGAGAAGTATTGCTTCAAACCGTGTTATTGCATTGAGTTCCAGCATGCAAGCCTGTATTGAGTGTTCATGGGCTAATTGGTTGGGAGACAATATGTATGACCCTTTGTAATTGTTTGTAATTGCATGCACATTTGTTGCGGTAAGCATATTGAAATCTTTCCATTGTCCTTGTTGCTTTTCACGGACTTGATGTGTAACCTAGAACAGATTGCCAGACAGTAGCCCATTGCCATCTGAAGTCAGATTATGCATCCTGGACAGGCACCTTAAGCACGTGCCTGCACCTACATGTACATGTGCACACTAGATACATTCAGCATGTACTAGTACGTGTGCAGGCATCATACAGGTACATGCATTATTGAAAAGCGGCTGTTATGTTTTATGTGTGTTTAATACCAAGACAATTCCATTGAATTCCACTTTTTAATTTATTCTGCCTCTACATTTCCCCTCGTGTTTCTTCTTCTTGCAGGATTTTGTTGCGTAAGTGGTTCATTCTTTTCAGATGTGGTATGGGTGTTTAGATTGTACTGTACACAGGGGTTTTCCCAAAATTCCTGCGAGAGAAATTCCAGGAAATTGCCTTGTTGGTTTGTAAGTGGGGAAACCCAGTATAAGCACAGCATACAAAATGGAGGGTTTATTGATTCATACCCAGTACATGGAAAGTATTGCTTTGAAACATTTTTGCACAAAAAATTAAGAAAGCTACTAATGATTAGATCAGTCAAAGACAAAGATACATGTCCATGGAAGTGCAGAACTGTATGTATGTACTGCTGTACATACATGTATATTGCAAACATTAAAATGCACCATATTCCTTTTAACAAACATTTGCATTACTGAGCGATGTAGTATACCGTATGTTCATGTACAGGTATTTTGCAATTTAAATGGAACTGTTAAAATTTAAAGTCACTGTACTTTACATTTTTCAATAGAGGTACGTGTACGTACTTCCATTAAGATGGAGAGAGTTAGCAGTAGTTTTATAGGTAGTTTAAAAATGGTACATGATGTACATTGTACTGGTTTGTTTAAAACTAAATAGGTACTTGGACGATAATGGGACATTATTAGAATGAAGGATTGTGGATACACTATTGTCACCATGGCCCTAACCACTATAAAAATATTCAGAAACCAACCCATCACACTTTTATTCCCATACCTTTTCAGTGAAAATAGTAACAAAAATTTGAAAAATCAAGTCAAGGAGTTTGTTTGGCCTCCAAAACTTGTGGGATAGCCTGGGCTCATCTTCCAGTTTTGGAGGCTTTCATCTCTGCTTTCAGCAGAGAGTTGATAACATTACAGTTGAAAAGTGGTCCCAAGTACCCAAGAAAGTTGAGAAATCTATGCCTTTATAAAATGGTGTCTTAAAGGCTTGGTAACTATCACTTTTTGGTACCAGTAGGTGAGGTTTGTTTTAATGTGAATATTTGACAAATACCGGCAGGTAGCCCACCAAAAATTGAAAAGAAATGGAAAGAGGAAGGACAACACAAGAATTTAACTTTTGTTGGAGAGAAACCCCTGTTATGTCAGCTTTTGTATTACTTGGCCCTGAACCTTATTGATTTTACGCTGTTTTCAATATGAGCCTACAGGTACGGTATGTAGTTCACCAAGAGCATACAAAGACACTGAGTTTATTTCTCTGTGTAGGGTCAAGAGTAACACAGTTGGGACAACCCTCATATGTCTCTAAATCATTGATGATGAAACAATGTCCTGTAGTAATCCTTGTCTCACAAAGTCCTCCTTGCCAAATGTATAGTTCTTATTTTCCTTCCCTTTGAGTCGTTTCTTTTTGTATGCACAACTACAGCTCCAAACTTCTCGAAATCCTTTCTAGAGGTTACCCAGCCATAGGCATAAAGCTGTCTGAGCCCTACGTTCTAAGCTGACCCTCTCCAGCTCCTGATCTGAAACCATCAGTGTAATTGAGTTTAGAGAGTAAAATAATTCTCTCCACTTCATGTACGCAAAACTGAGCCAGTATTTATCCACCAGTATCTTACCTGTAAGATTTTTTTTTATACACTGCTTCATTGGCCATTCATAACCACAGCATCATTTTTAGCTGGTGTTACATGTACATTGGTTTCCTTTCCGTTTGAAAGTGAACATCATACTGTAGCCCCAGGTTGTGACTGTCAGACCATGGTCACTCTGAACAATGCTGACTTGCTGCTAATCACCACTGTTCCTCTGGATGACAGTTGGCACTTGGCCCACATTGTTTGACTCTGATTATGGCCAACACTTCTACATGTCACCCGTGCTCATCATGTGCCTTGCAATGCGCAGTGCTCGTATGGTGTATCAACACATGAACCAACACACATGTATCTGTACATTTGCATATTTCTGTAGATGGCCTTATGTTTAACCTATGGCCCCACACTTGAGTAGACTCTTCGCCTAGGCATTATCAGCATCTATTCTCCTGATCTTGTCTTAAACGAATGTTTCAGACTGTTGAAGCACATACATGTACATGTACACTTTTATTCCCTTGTGTGCGTAGTTACATGTATTGTACATGTACATGTACCCTTACAATTACGTATTGGTACTGTAGTAGTGAAATCACCCTTTTGAAATGCCTTAGGTTTACTAGCCTTAAGAAAACAACAGCGTTCATGAACATGTACACTGTGCATATACGGATACAGTGGAAGACAGTCAAATACACATTCAGAGTAGAATTCCCAAAGCGAATAGGTGAATTTCCCATGCTACATTGTATATGAACATACTGGTAATAATGTACAGTGTACAAAATAATAGATCATAAGCATACTTGTAGTTGGGGGGCAAGGATAGAAAAACTCATTCTCCCCCTCCCCCCCCCACAAAAAAGTGGTGAAAAATAAGGGGGGGATTAGATACTGTAAAAAAAAGATTCATATAGGGATTTAGGATTACATGTACATGTACAACACAAACATTTTAACTGTGCATTTTTTCAGAGTGTTAGTTGGTGTATGCACGCACATTATGTTCTACATATCTGTACATGTACCTCAAAGGTGTTACTTGCAGAAAGGTACATATACATGAATATCATCATGTACGTATTCTGTATACACATCCACGGTAACAGCTCCATAAATTTGATTACATTCATGTAGGCTGCCACACTTTCATCCAGTAAACCACTTGTGTATAATATTCTGTCACTTTCAGTTTAGTGAGAAATTTTTGTGAAGGACCTGGTACACGTCAACAAAATCAATGGTTTTAGAACCCTGCGTACATACAATATACACACCTACATGTTAATTCAACGTGTAGTGGCCATGTACATGTACATTGCACATGTAAATTCATGTTCTCATAACATCTGAACATAAGGAGTGGGTTTACAAATTACTCTTGCTAATGAATGACAGGGCCTGCTCACTGGACAGACATGCTTCAAAATGGCAAATGGACTTGTAATGTACCAGGATTGTTGTCAAAGCGCAGAGGAAGTTCCGTAATTTATGAGTCTCACTGGCATGTTCCAGTCAGCCCAACACATTAATCATGTTCATTGTCACGTCTGGTCAAAGTCAATTTGGGTTTTCATACGTGCACATGTATACTTCGGTACAATGTACATGCAATTTTGGAAGTGGAATT